GACACAGATTCAGAGTGCTAAAGACCTTGGGACCTTCTAGTTCAACCTTCTCATTTTTCAGACAAGAAAACTGAGGCCCAGGGAGGGGAAACAACTAACTGAAGGTCACAGAAAAAGTTAATGTCAAATCTGGGACTAGATCTTAGAATTCTCAATTCACAGTCCAGTGTTTTTGTCTTGGCAGAATTCACTATAGACCATGGTAGATTTCCTGTCTCAAATGCTAATCAATTCCAGATAACCCCTAACCAAGTAGATCTTTCTACTGCTGCAACTTGCCAGGTAAAATATCTGTGAAATGGTAGATAAGTTATGCCCTGCAAATGTTCTTCACACAATAGCAAATGCTAATTGACCTGATATGTCAAGAATTAGTTATAAGAATTATTTAATAATTTTCAAAAGAAAGGAAGTTAACTGAATTATTATTCTGATGATTTTCATAGGCTCAGCATTTCAATCTACTGCCCTCCTGAACCTTGGAAGTGATGTCCAACTTAAATAAATACATTTAAATAAATGTATCTGTTTTTATATTTTTCCCTTTTAAACTTGTCTCCATGTACCCTCAGACCTGAAGGGAGGGGTCTGGGGTAGCTGATGGATAGAGTCTGGTACTGAGGCCAAGTCTGTGGCCAGGCTGGAGCAAGTTTGGTTGTGGAGCAGAGGCTCTTGTTACAGGTCAACTGTTACCCTCCAGTTTGCCTCATCCACTTCAGCAGGAGCCTGGAAAGAAGCCCTGAATGGCTCCTGGCAACAAAAGGACATTTGTGCACTGGGGGCAAGGGGCCTCAGGGAAGACTTGGTGCAAGGGAGGTGGGAGGGAAAATTAGCAACCTCCTCACTTCCACGGTTGCTGGGAAGGGAAGCTAATGGGTTAAGCAGACATGTGAGGTTTGGAAGTCAAGAAGTCATTGAATTAAAGAGCAGCAAGATACCTTAGAGGTTGTTTAGACCAAACCATTCATTTTATGCCTGGGGACACTAAGGCCAAGAGAGGGGAAGGGACAGGTCCAAGATCATACAGCTGGCAACGGGCAGAGCCAAAACTGAAATCTAGAGCTTCTGATTCTCCAAACAAGTGTTCTCACCTCAGTACCTACAAAGCAGTTCAGAATTGTGGATTTTGTTTGGAGGGAGGAGACTCCAGAACCTATCTCTATCTCAGGAGAAAATCATGCTTAATGGCATGATGTGAGGACTCGGAAAAAGTACGAAGTGATGTAGGGAGTCTGAGAGCACCTAGTGAGTCTTGGAGTGAGCACCAAATGCTTGAATCTCCTCCTGACCTGCTGGTTTGTGTCCCCATAGCTAGCTCTTTGTTTTCCAGTGCTTGGTATTATTATATGCATGGGATGATTTGGAGTTATACATTGACATTTTGAATTGTGACAGAAATATACTGAACTCAATATGTATTAGGAAAGATATAGCTAGTACCTCAAACCCTAATTTCATAGATATTAGAGCTTAGAGTGAGGTTGTATTTAAAATTGGGTTGATTAAAGAAAAACAATAAGCATATAATGGCATAGAATGAAGTGATGGCAAATATTGTGAAGTTGGTTCACATATAAGTGAAATTTGGAAAACACTGTGCTAGTGGATCTTGGATCATGATAGGAGGACCAGCAAAGACCATTCAGGCAATACTCCTGGACCTGGGCAGCTGAAGCTAGTTGGACCTCTTAATGTTCTTTTATGAAGACAGTGCCAAATGTTTGCTCTGTTAATGGGTCCACTTAGGATAAAAACAGTATCGAGTCAAAGAAACCTCTGATTGACTGATCTTACTTAATAGGAAGAAAATTAAATATGCAAATCACATGAAATTGTCAGCTATGAGTCAGTATATCAGCTTTTTCTTCTCTAAAAAGTCACTGGTTGGTCCTCTCCACTACTTCTGTTCTATTTCGGTGGAACTTGTAAGAATGGCATATAAGACCAAATAGGCTCAAGGTTAAGATGGAACACTGAGGGCCAGAGAGAGGAATGTTCTTAAGATCATTCAACCATGAAAAGCACAGTCAAGACTGGATCCCAGGTCTCTTGACTCCCAAACTAATGCTTATTCAACTATTGCCCCACATTTCCTGCCCACATTTCCTTCTCCCTTGCCCTTTCTGCACACTCCCCTCAACCCTATCTCCACCCCCAAGTCAGGCAGCTACAGCCTCCACTGAAGTCTTATCTGGCACAGCTCACTTTCTTTAGATCTTCTGGACTCATCAAAGACCCAAGAATCTGGTAGCATTGGTCACCTCCAAGATGATTCTGGGTGGTTAAGAGACAGGAGTGAGAAGACTTTATTTTTGTACCTCTTGAGTTTTGAAACACCTGAAGCCATTACCTAGTTTAAAAATAAATAACAAAATAAATCACTTCCTGAGCTAAATCTCAAAACTAATAACATTTATTCAGCACTTTGAAGTTTTTAATGTACTATCTCTTATGGTCCATATAAGAACCCCATGCAACAAATTGCTCCATTTTATAGATGTGGACATTGATCTAGAGAGAGGAAGTTTCTTGCCTAGGCTCGTACAGTGAATCAGCACTGAGATTTGGGCTACAATGCATACCCCCAATCTCCAGTGCCTTGATGCTTCCATAGCCACATTCACAAACCTCATAATTTGTACCAAATTGTCCTCAGATCAACCTGAACCAAAGTGTTTACATTTGCCCTTAAATAGACATTTTCAAACTTTAACCTAAAGAATTAGCACAACCAGTCCCAGCTCAGCTGTGTAGGTGGACACCTCTTCTGTCTGGCCCCATCCCCTAAACCACACTCCTCTGTCCTCTGGAAGCCACATACCATTCAGTCACCTGGTGCCCACCTTCCAGGATTCAGGATGGCATCTTAGCTTGGCACAGACATTCTAAAGAGGCAACTTGGCAGCTGCAAAAGCATTTGTCTGGAGGAGGGGTCACTAATTCAGGTCCTTTGGGGTTCCTTTTTAGTCTTTGCAGCTGGTGTCTCTAAAATGGAGAAGTTCATCCTTCCCCAAGTATGGGCAGGCCACAAATATTGTGCCCCCAGAAGTCTCTGTTGCAAAGCAGGAACTGTGCTCAGCAAGAAGCTCTGGAATGGTGATGAGGGAGGAGGTGGGTGGGGGGTGGAGAAGCAGATGTGTGCTGTGTGCTGATCAAAGCAGTGTTCCTGCTTCAAAATAGGTCCCCTCTCATCTGCTGTCATGGCAATGCAAATAAACACCTCATCCTGCTGGCTCTTTTTCCTTTTTTAGCAGCCACCACCCAAGAACTCAGGGTCTTAAGGTTGAAAATTCCTTGGGAGGTTACCAGATCCCCTTTCTGTCTCCTGGTAAGACTGTGCCCAAACCAACTACAACTACTTGGGGAGGTCCTCAGGACCTTGCACATGTCCTTAGTATGTCACTTGTTAATTGTCTTTCTGTTCCACACGACTCCCATCACCACCACCTAGAAGCCATCCTCACTCAAGTCACAAGCTCATCCTAATGAAAAACTGGAGCCAATGGGAATTGCTTAGGTTGGGCTGGAACCAGGAGGATGGCCCAAATGACCTCGGCAAAGCCTGGATGATGCCAGGAGTTCAGGCCCAGCCAGTAAATGTATTCCTGGCCAGCATCCTTCTTTTTATTCCTCCCTAAAGCAATCATCTTCCCCTAGATGACTGTGTCCCCTCAGCAGTTGCTCCCAGAATGATATCCACTTGTCCATACCCAAGTAGGATACCAGAGGCAGAAGGCAGATATGCAGTCAGGCAGTCAGGCTAAAAGAAACTTGTTAGAGAGAAAAAGGAGGGAATTTTTTCTCTCAAGGCTACATATATCACCCAAGGCCTAACTAAACCTCTTTGTAGCCTTCCAGATAAAACAAATGGTGGGAATACCAAAGACACTGACTCTCAAATGTCAAGACTCTTTCCTTCACCCTCTGTTCCCTTTCCCAGCATACCTCCCTACCCTAATATACTTCCTAGTGGACAAAAGGCCTCTGAAAACAAGGTAAATATATGGGTGGGTGCCATTTGTTGATAGCTTTCTAGGGAAATCCTCCCCTGGCTCCCTAACCAGAGAAAACCCTCCATCTGAGAAATGAAGAAGCTCTGCATGCTCACTCACCTCCAAAAGGCCAGGCCCAAGTAGTCCAGGAAATGTCCACTGGAGGGAGACAGAGAGAATGCTTCCAGATTTTACACCTAGGCATTGGCTGTACTGCCCAGGAACCTGATCGGCCTGCTCAATAGGAGCACTGAGAATCTCAGTCCCATTGCATGCCACTTGTGAGCCTCACCTCACACACTTACCAGCATTCTTCCTCCCCTGCCACATCGGGAAACACTGCAAAGGAAACAGAGAAGAAATCAAAGCATTGCAGACACCCATGCAATGTCAGAACTAGAAGGGATCTTTGTAGTCAGCGAGTTCAATCTTCCCATTTTACAGAAAGGCACACTGAGGTCTACAGAAAAGGAAAATGAAGGACAAGTGGAGCAAAATGGCACCTAGAAACCTACTCCTGGCTGCCCACACCATAATACTTTCTCCTATTCCACTGGCTGACTCCTCTTGTTCACTCTCATCAGCCCCAAATCAGGGGATTGGAAACAATCTTCACAGTTCATAGTACTGTTCCAAGGTCTAAAAATAAGGATTATCAAAGAATCAATTAGCATTGACTTGGCACATACTATTCTTTGTATAGTATCAACCAAGTTAGAAGCAAGGTGTGTTGGTGGAAAGAGCAGTATTTAGAATGGCAAGCTCAAGTTCACGGCCACTTTCCTCTACTTACTGATTATGTGTCATTGGACATAACCTCCTGAACTTCAGTTTCTGAATCCGTAATACTAGGATAGTAATAATACTGACCTCAAAGGCTTGTGAGAAATTAATGTACCTGAAAGTACTTCTAAAAAATGATAAAGCACATTATAAATTTATTCATTTAATAAATATTTATAGGGTACCAATGGCCTTCAAAGCACTATGCTAGATGCTAAGGATATAGCAGTGATCTAGGCAGGTAAGGTCCCTGTCCTTGTGGAGCAGGGGCAAACAATAAACATGTAAACCAATAAATAAATAAGGAAATTTCAGACATCACTAAGAACCAAGAAGGGGAAACTTTAAAAAACAAGATGAGGTAGATAGTGATAGGGCAGGAAGAATAAAGAGATTGCTTTACTTTAGAAATGGTGGTCAGAGAGTGTCTCTCAGAGTAGTTGAACTTTGAGCTGAGGCCTGAATGACAAGGAGTCAGCAATGTGATGAACTGAGTGCAGAAGATTACAGACAGAGGATGAAGAGAACAGTGGGAGACAAATTATGCAGGACTTTGAAAGCTAGGGTGAGGATTTTGGCTTTGATTCAAATCACAGTAGGTAGCCATTGTAGAGCAGGTGTAGAGCAGGAGAATGAAGAGATGTGATTTCCACCTTAAAAACTACTCTCACTGCTGTGTGGGGAATGGATTGTAGAGTGAGAGTGGGAGCAGGGGAATCTCTTAGGAGGTTTCTGCAATAGTTAGATAAGCAATGTTTGTGGCTTGGGCTAAAAAAGTAGAGGTAGAAAAGTAGGAAAGAAAAAAGGGTTCTTCTTAGAGATAGAAGGATCTTCTTGCTTATTCTCCTGCTTTTGTGCAGTCAGCCTGTAAAACAAAGATTATCAGGAAAAGAGTTGGTCACAGTATTTTTCATCTCTCGTATCCTCTGAACAATGATCTCCACACCAGGTGCAGACAATAATGATCTCTAATCCTTGGAGATTAGGTTCAGTCCTAGGTCATCCTAAAATGACTAAAGGTCAGATCCACCCTTGTAGACCACAAGACAATCTGATGAATCTTCAACCCACAACTGGTAACAAGAGAGAGGAGGGATTAGGAGGCAACCCCTGGGTGTTCATTGAGAAGGCCCTTGAGGGATGTTAATGTGAAGGACATGGAAAAATCTGGAATGAGATAAGTGTCAAAAGAGGAGAAAGACCAATCAAGAGAGACAAATATGAAATTCCTCTACTAAGCTACAAATTGGACCTCTTTAGGATTGAGTAAGTCAATATAATTCTCACTAGTGGACAAGGGGTAGTAAAAAGAAAAGATAAAGGAGTAGTAGAGAGGAGGAAGCAACCCCTTGTACAGCCCTTTTTTTTTTTTTCTTTTTTTTTAAATATATCTTTACTGATTTCAGAGAGAGGAAAGGAGAGGGAGAGAGAGAGATAGAAACATCAATGGTGAGAGAGTCATTGATCGGCTGCCTCCTGCATGCCCCAGACTGGGGATTGAGCCCTCAACCTGGGCATGTGCCCTGACCGGGAATCGAACCCTGATTGTCTGGATCCTAGGTCGACTCTCAAATGCTGAGCCATGCCTGGCAGGGCTACAGTCCTAAATGTGACAATTCTGGGAAACTAGGAGAAACACTGATAGGAGGAACAGACTATTTTGTAGTCCTATTCATATATAATTGCCTTCTCTTTGACCCTACCCCCAACCTATCATAGATATAACAGAATTAAATATAGTTCAGGAACTAACTGGGCTTTAAATTTACACAGGAATTTACAGGTTACAAATAAGTGACCTTTTGTTCAACTGTCACAGCCAATCTGCATGGTAAGTTTTATCCTCATGTGATACACTAGAAAAATGAGGCCCAGAGGAAGTGAAGTGACTTACCCAAGGTCACACAGTTAGTAAATGTCAGAACCAAGTATATAGTAACTTAGGCTTATGAGGCTGCCAATTGTATGTTATTCTATTTTTTCTCTGCAGTCCAGGATAACCCAGAATGGGCCAGGACTATGAGTCCCACTTTACTTTGGACCCTGATCCTGGCACTATTTTGGTAGCTCAGAGGCTTACAGGGAAAGATGAGGCATGAGGTTTTGCATCAGAAAGTTCTACCAGGTAAAAGCTCTTTTTGTTTTCTGGTTGTAGACAACCATTCTTGAAGAAGACCAGGATTAGTGGTGACAGTCTTCCCATACAGTGAGTCATCCATTCACTCATTATGAGCCTCCTCAGGGCCAGGGCCTGTGCCGGGTACTCAGAGATTCAGCTAAAACTGGCATGTTCCCTGCCCTTGAGGAATTTATGGCCAACTTGGGGGGTGGGTAGGGCACATGCACAAATCATCACAGTTACATGTAAGTGCTATTGGGAAGTATAAAGCATTGTGGAACTGAGCAGAGGGATTAATTAGATGGTAAAAGTGCAGGTGCATTGTCACATGAGCATTTGGGAAGGAAGCAGCATTTGGAACAGGTCTCGAAGGATGAATAATAGTTCATGAGGCAGATGAGTCAAACAGCATGGCAGGCAGAAGGGAGCATAGCAAAAGGCAAGGAGGTATGGAAGCATGTGATTTGAGGAACTATGTATAGTCTGGCTGGAGAACAGAGTGCAAGACAGAGAGTGAGAAATGAGTCTGGAGCAGCAGGTAGGGGTCAGATCATGAAGGACCTTCTAAGTCACATGAAGGACCTTGAACTTTATGCAGAGCCCATTGGGGAGCCATTGAAGAGGTCTAAAAAGGAGATTGACATAGTCAGATTTATAGTTCAGAATGTAACTCTATCTGTTGAGTAAAAATTAATTGGGAATGGGGATAGGGGAGATAGGGAAGCCAGAGCAGATAGGAGCAGTGGTCTTTGGGGACCAAGGAGGGGACCAAGATATGAACTATTTATACATTAGAACCAAAGTCAATGATAGGATGTGGAAGGATAAGAGAGGAGTCAAGGATGAATTCACGGTTTCTGGCCTGGGCAACAGGGTGGATGACAGGGTTAATAACTGAGGTCAGGAACAAATGAAAAGGTATGGTTGGTGGCAGGGGAAAGGGGGATCTTCCTTTTATAATGAATCTCATTTGGACCTGTTGGATTTGAGGGGCCTGTGGAACACCCACTCAGAGTTGTCCTTTAGGCACTGTGATTTACCTGCACATGCAAAGTTGCACAGAAGCAGATATGGTCCTTGTGCTTGAGGAGCTTGCAGTCTAGTGGGAGATAGAGTGGTCAGACAGAAAAAAACAGATCAGGAGTCTTTGAGAGATAAAAGTAATCATGTTGAAAGAATGAAAAAGAGAACCAAAAGGGGGATGGGGGCAGAAAGCTGGTTGTTGAGGAAGAAGCTGGGAAGTCTGAGAGCGGTGGCTTGGAGACAAGCTGCAAATGCTACTGACAGGCTTCGTCCAGATCAAGGAGTTCTCAGCCAAAAGTGGCTGGGATGGAGCTCACTGTCCCCAGCATCCTTTCTACAACCATCCTTTATCCTGCTGAAGGGAAGCCTAAAGAAATTTTTCACCCTTTCCTTGTATGGTTTCTCTGCTTCCCCTCACCTCCTAGCCAGCCCTATGCCACAGACCCAAGCCTGAGGCCAGTCATGAGAGCACGTTCTTCACACTCCAGCCTCCCTAGCCCTCTCAGTTGAGCCACACAGAGCCTTATTCACAGCCTGACCCTCCCTTCCTCCGGAGTGAGCTCTCACCACCCCCAGGCCCAGTCCATGTTCTGACAACACAGACTATGGACACTGTGGGAATCAGGCCCCCCAGACCCCTCAAGAGCTGACTCTTCTGTTCTTGGGTTTTCTCCCCTCAGAGGGGGTTCAGTGAGTTTGGACACTCGTGTGTGCATGAGTGTATGTGTATGCTCTATGTAGTCAGCCAACTCCTCTAGGCTAGGCCTAGAATACGGCTGTTCTGGACTGGACACAGGGGTAGATAAGACACAGGCTGGTTCCTCAAAGGTTCTTACAGTCCCGGGTGGAGACAGCTGGATACATGAAGGGTGGTATGTGGGCTGGGGCTGGATTGAGTGTGCCACCATGTCCTAAATTAAAGTACTGGTGTCATGGGGCCACTCTTAAACCCCATCCCAGTGGCCTGGGTTCATGCATTCATGTTCTGGCTGTGATGTGTGCTGGGAGTAGGTTGTTGCAGCCCTGAGGGATTCCAATCTCTTCCCTAGAAAGGGAAGAGGAGAGGTGGTTTAGAGTAGGACTGATCAACACAGGCATTTGACCTGACCATGTGACTTTGACCAATTCTTTGCTGGGCTTCAGACTTGTTGCTTATATTGATAAGTGGGTCCCTGACAATTCTTATCTTTCCATAACAAGGGAGATGGTGAGAACAATCCCAACCAGTATAAGTCAATAGAATAAATGTCTTCTAGAAGGTCTTGATAGAACTCAGAGTCTGAGATGGCTTTTTTGAGGAATCCCCAGAGGGTCTATTTCCCTTGTTTCCTCTCTGAGGGTGTGAGCTGTCCTTACTAGTTTGGAGTTTGGGGCCTCTCAGAAAACCTGACTCCCCTTGTGTACTTACCAGGAC